GAGAAGGGAAAATGAGAAGTGGCATTCTGTGGAGTGTAATGATATTCAAAATACAGTATTGTATGAGGGATACGGATATTCTCAAGAATCGTCCTTTGAAAGATAAGGATTTTCCTACACTATGCCCCTCGAAAATGCAAAAGTGTGTGAATTGCGGGCTATGTATTCCAAATTTCGGTTCCTATTCTTTGGGCAATACCAATCATCGATGAGTATAGATCTCTATGAAATAGTATTATGTGAACAATTAAGGGCTACATTCTAAAGAAACGAGCAGGCCATTAATCACGCGCAGGTGCAAGCGCTCTAGATGTGTCGAATGTATTATTGCCGGAGTAATACAATAGAGACCGAAATACTTGCATATCGACAATGCAAAGATTCTAGCGGAAATGTTGTTTGTAATGTACAGTGTCGCAGGAATGCTTTTATGTGAAGGCCTCATAACATAGCGTTTTAGATACGACTAATTGGAGAACGTGACTAATTGAGGGATAATGATTTATGTGTAGTATTATTTAAAAAATATCGCTCCCCCCAGGACTACGGACATGTGGAATGTACGCTTAGCATACAGCCCTATTATATGAACCATGCGTTTATACCCCAAGTATTACTTTGTGTACTGTATACATGTCTCCTGAATATTCTTCTGCACCAGGTTCATATTTTACAGTTATTTTTATTTGTAGACTATTATTGGCTGGAGATAACACATCTTGATGGGGAACCATGATATCAGGAACCTAATCGTGGGGATTCTATGACTGGAATACGTTTATAAGGGGAAGTTAGGCCAACGGGTTCTATTATTTGAAGAATAGAATGAGGCGAAGGATATACAATTCCTTGGAATACTAATATATAAGGAATACATTTTTTGCGACAATTATTAAGTATGTGAGAAGGAAACATTTCTCTAGAGCATCAATGCATAAACAGTAGAAGAATCCCGAGAATCCCTATTGTGGAGTTGTCAAGATCTAAAGCAGGAAGCACGGTAATTTAAGAAAAGATATTTAGTGAGAGATAATACAGTGGATGCAACGATATTCTTGGAAGAGTTCCAATCACAAAGCGTTACACATATATAGGAAATATGAGATGCCTCCGGTATATTTGTATTAACTGTAAGAATTAGCATTACAACAACTGTTTAGAGGATAAGCCTCTGGCAAGGCTAATATTCTATGTAGAAAGGTGCTGTGTGGGGAGGAAAATTGTTTAAGATAATACAAAGGTTTAAAGAGTCAAATTCCTTGAGAAGGACAGTAGTTGTAAAAATCATACCATTTCACCAATACACTGGCTTCTAAAATGATTCCATTCCAGGGATACGCATATACCAATCCTAAGGCTATTCATGCTGTATAGGAAACTGAGGGATACTATCACTAAGAGGGGTTTCGACATACCGAGGGTGTTTATATATAGGAAGCACTTCTTATAGGCAAAGTAACATTGTAAGTACAGTAATACGTCGTGAACTGTGATTATTCCCTCTCAATATTATTGTAATATAGATTCAATAATTATCCGGGTACTATTAAGGAAAAATGATTACGGAAGTTTTGCACACCTTCTTTAATCTGTAGTATTTTCCTCTTAACAGGACTCGAAATCGATGCAGTACTATTAAAATAAAGAAATTATGTAAAATGAAAGATTAAACTTCTTATACTCTAGGGAGGAATAAGAAATTATAAGAAAAATAATACTATATAGAAAAAACCGTTTGTCATGGAGACTTAGGAATAATAGTAACATCAAAAAAGGCGAAGACAATAAAATAAGAATAGCAATACACGTAACATAATAAGAAATCATTAACGTAAAGGGAGGGGGAGCAGGCATATAGGAGCGGATGACTATAATAGAATGTATATACGAAAAAGACTGAAATATTTGAGAGAATTACCTGCCTCCAACCCCAAGAAGAGATATATGTGATACCCTATAGATACCCCACAGGACAGTGGGCATATAAGCAGCAAAGTCAAAGTGGAGATGCCTAAAACGAAAGGTACATAGTTAATAAATACACAAGACAAACAGCAAGAGAGGAAGATAAAGGGAAGGATAATGAGAAAATCAAGATTAAAAACCATACCCAAACGATAAAGCCCAAAGAAGGAGTGGGCATAACACATAAGGAATAAGATCGGCGGGAGATCTTTCTCTCTGACCAGATGGATATATGATATCGGGGGTTTCATGTTTTCTAATATATGGGAAGAGGAATAAAAACAGGTAATATTTTGAATCTGTGGTGACCTCATGAAGTATAATAGGTCGTACGATAACTTCATTTTTGTACGTATGAAAGACTATAGAAGATGCTATAACGGGGGTCTCTTTATTCACCACAGGAGGAGGTAGAATGTTAAGTGGTATTCATAACCCCTTTTATGCATAAGGGAGTATAAGCCCATAGAATGAATAAATTCCCCTATTGACATGAGGAAGAGTCCTATAAAGGTGTCTTAAACCAACATAGAGTTATGAGGTTCTTCTGAAAAATGACAGGAAGTGAATAAATACATGATCATTTTGGCAGTGATATGGTTTTTATATGAATCTTACGTGTAATGCTATATGGGCATATAGACAATAATAGAAAAGTTCCCTCCCTTAATAATGAGTCAAATAGTTTTATGAATCTCTTATGTGTTATTCTACGTGATTAATTAACCCGAATTTTCAAAAGTATTGGGGAGTTGTTGTGGGGATCATTTGAATATACAGAGGACTATTTATGATTCGGTATATTATCCTAGTGTACATTTACCCATCTTCAGTCAAAAGAATAGCTGTATAAATAGTTGGGTACAAAATATTGTGGCATACAGTATATTTTCTCTACTATATAGCATATTATGGGGCATGATCTAAAACAACATATCGTGATCTACTAGGGACTAAGCAACCAAAAGGGTATAGAAGAACGCGCAAAAATAATATAATGGTTACAAATATACTGATAAGGAATAATGTATATTAGAAAGAAAAAGCAAAAGAGAACTAAGGAAAAAGAGAAACCCAAGTAAAGACAAGAAGGCTAAGGACTGTCAGCAATAGTAAGATGAGTTAGCAGGTTCGCAACCGTTAAGTAAAAGGAAATGATGTAGTCTAGAGGACAAAGGACGAATAACAGCACGAAATCCGGGAACACAATAAAAAGTAAAAAAATCAAACAGGACTTAGGACGCCGACACCTGTTCAATAAGCCACATGGGAGATCACCCCCTATAGGAATAGAAGAAATAGGAGGATATTTAGAATAAGGAATATAGAAAAAATAATAGAAGAAGGAAACCCAACGGGGAAGTGCTGAAAATGGAGTTAAGCAACAACAGGAATAAAAATCGAAGTAGAAGAAAACAATCCCAGTTTTAGGACCGGTATGACTCAGCACAAGTCAGTCCTATGAGAAATATACTATCATATATTATGACCTATCAATCAAAAACAAACCCCAAAAGGAAAAGATCCTACAAAGGACGAATCCCGGAACCCAACGAGGAAAAGTGAAATCTTCAAAGCTAGCCATGGAGCAACCTACCAATATCGTTGCATGGCAGAATACGGGCAGGAGGGTGTACAGAACCTTCATTAAGATTATATATTATTAGAACAAACGAAATGCAATCACAGAACACCCCCCAATACGGGTAAAATTCCCGTAAAGATAATAATAAAAATCTCTATGCCAAAAACACGTGCACCACACACAACACAGACAAGCTATAAAGGTAACTAAGGGTAGGTATATATACAAACAACACATTACGACAAGTCCCATAGAAAACCTATGGTATAACTCTGAGGTATAAAATTAAAGACAGAGCATACATCATAATAATAGGACCCCCCATAAGACCCAGCATAGAAGGACCAGTCAAAGTCGCAATGGGGGCATCCTCTGAGGATGTATGTATAGGAAGAACAGGTAGTGAAGAAATCATCTGGAAGAGTTCATGAGGATAACGACACCGAGGATAGGCTTAGAATTTGAAAAAGAGAAAAAAAAAACAGAACATATCAAATACAGCACCCAAGGACAAGAATAGAATAACAAGATCTAGTAGCGAAAGTTAAATAACCGTAACACCTTGAAGAGAAATGAAGAGGAAACGACCTAAGCCGAATAGCCCTACTCATTGAACCGACTGTTCTCAGACAAGAAGAATGCCCTGAGCAAGTGGACCCGAAAAGAAACAAGCGAAAGAGGAAAACCTCCGAGAAACCATCCCCCAGTTAATCTTTCCCCCCCCCAAAGATTCCAAATGGTAGAGAATCAACCAGCAATATTAAGTAGAGGAAAACGAAGGGTCCCTCTCGATGGATCCCTTCAGACCCAGCCAAAAGTAATAAGGAGGATGAAGTAATAGTAGCCAACCAAAGGGAAGATTAAAATCGAGTGAACTAGAAGAGAAGCGAAAATCCGAACGAGTAAAGAGGAAGTCCGTGAATCTCAACAAAACACGGGAAGAACAAGGGATTTGACGAGTAGGAACAAATGACGAACGAACTACTTCACAAAGGTGAAGTAGGTACAGGAGAGGATCAAGAAAAAGAATCAGCTAAAGCTAAAGAGATTTTCTCAGAAAGGAAAAGGCAACCCCCGAGATATAACCTCAGATATAGAGAAGAGCAATCTAAAAAGAAGAGTTGAGCCAACCACCAAGGGGAAAGGGAGCAATTCATAAAATTCCTCAGAGGGAAAACACCCAATCCAACAAATCTACCCAGGAAACTTCTACCCCCCCTCAGAAACATCAGGGAACAGGAGATGAGTGAATAAAACAGCAACAAGAATTGGGAAATAAGAATAAAAAACCAATAATCAAGGAAGACTAAGAGCAACCCAAAATCAAAAAGACTCGGGAAAGAATAATGCAACTCAAAAAAAAACCCACAGGAAAATCTACAATAATATCAGACATATCAGAAAGGAGTATGGAAATCTACTGCGGACCAGACGAAGTCAAAAATCAGAGATGCTCAAATCCTACTCAATTCCGGACCCTAAGGAAAATGAAAACAAATCCGAAGGGACCAGAAGCCCACTAAAAGAAACCGAAGAAAAAGGGCAGTACAGCTTCCAAAGAAGTAACTACAGAGGGATAAAATTAAAGGATTCTAGAAGGTGGACGCCAAGGTAAAATATCTGAGGAACCCAAAAAAACATTCGGTTCATCATAATAGGGGGAAACTCTCCCTGGAAACCCCAAAACAGCTTCATTCCTGAACAGCCACAGTACATGAACTACACCAGATCAGCAGCACTCCCCAGACAAATTGATATATCTCTGCTTTTAATGGAAGGAAAGATCCTAAAAAAACGCGAATCGTAATGAAGGAGCAGGAAACGAATATAAATACAATCTGAAAACTCATCCAGCTAGAAACTCCCAAAAACCACGCTTCAAAAAAAATTCGAATCAGGCCATGTGAGAAATCCCCCCCCCCC